CATGATACGTCACCTACGGTGTCTTCAGACCCAATAAAGTTCATCACAGCCTATGGTTATGAGTATTTGAGTGCAAGACTAAAGCTGAATTGTGTGGGAATATATGGCTGAGATCAAGGATTACAAACAGAGGAATTCCAGGCAATACATTCCTGACTTGAACTAATATTCTACCACCTGTTTTTGTTTTCACTGTTAAAACGGAAGCGTTTTGCTTCTGCCATGAAAAAAATACAATTAACAAAACCACAGTATAAAAGTATTTCTCTTCCTCACTGGCAAAGAAACATAAATTTACATGGAATGCTTTCTCATTTATATGATTTACTTGAAGAAAACAATATAAAAAGGAGGGAATTAAATACGAAATGAGCTATTTATGAAGTGCCAGAAAAGAAGCCCTACTCAAGCGGCCCTTGTGGAGAACTCTATGGTTGTAATTCCACATTAGGTCTGGCACTGAAAATATAGCCACTAAATATATTTGCTTAGTAAAAGATGTATATTTTCCTATTTATTTGTGCATTATGGTGAACTCATCCCAGCACAGAGAGCCATCCTTAAGCCTCTGCACCACTTAAGTCCTACTAAAGCCCTGTCTTAGGAATTTAGGTGGAACCGAAGTTGGGCCTGAGGTCTCCAAGTTGGTGTGAACTGAAGTCTTAATCCATCTTTCACCAAAATTGCTGGTATTGTCCTGTGGCTTTCCACAATAAAATCATTATGTACATAATTATTTTTAAAATTTTGGGTTTGGACTAAGAAATAAAGGTCAGGTCTTAGAATCTGACCTTCAGTCCCAGGGGATTTATTCTGTCTTCCTTTATAGTGTGACTAGAAAGTCCCTTCTGTGGAGGAAAGCTTTCTCATAAACAGTTAAGCTTGCAGTTTGGTTGTTAAAGAAAACTTGAAAATAGCCAAGAACAGCCTGTTTGAGTTAGTTCTCCACTTTGAATACTTTCGGTACAGATAATAAAGCAACCTCTGCCTCCTATTTTAAAAATTGAGCATTCAGACAAGATTGAAATTTCATAGTTCTAAGAAGTTATTTCAGTCTTTTATGAGCACGGTTTGAACCAAGAGTTAGAGTCCTTAACTTAGATCTGTGTTCAGACAGAAGTCATTCGTGCCACTTGAAATGTTTAAGGTTAAATGTATGCTAATATATTGCACCGAGCTGTGCGAAAAAAATTGGCACTCGCTCTAAGTCGTACCTCATCCTGAAAAACTGCTTGCCTACCGCTCTGAGAAATGGCACCTCCACGAACTATAATTGGGAAGGGTTTAAGGAAAAACAACTATTGTTTTTGTCAAGCTACTCTCTTAGTCAGTTTGAAAACACTCCTTTTACACTCAGTTTGCTGTTCCCATCTAACGAGGCCTCTTTTCTGCGGCCAGAAAAGGGACAAACCCACTCAGAATGTGACTGTGGGGCAGAAAGTGGGAAGGCGAGTGTAATGTCCTCGTAGCTTTGAATCTGAAACTCATTTGTTACAACTGACTAGTTTTTGAGTTGTTGCTAATGCTTTAAATGATCTCCAGGTTTAAATGATGCCAGGATGCAGGAGAGAAATTTGAAGACATCTAGTGGTTGTATTAAGGAAGGCAATTGAGAAAATGGTTCTGAAGCTTAGCTTGAAAAATAGTTGGTTTCAACACTAGCACAATTAGGCCACAGGAATTCAGATACATGAAAGCTGGCATTTTCTAGTAGGCAAGTTTGGAATCCTTCTCCTGAAGTGTGTTATCAGTAACTGCTGGTTTGAATGAGGAATTAGCAAAACAGGCCACACAACTACTGAACACTAAACATGGTATATAAGAAATATTTATGAGCAACAGAGAGAATGGGGAATTATTAGTTGTTTCACTGAAAGCTCCTTGTCACTCAGTTCTGTTATGGTACTGTGATTATCAAGCATTCTTTGTGAATGATAAGCAAGATGCAGTTTACTGTCATTGCTGCATCTTGGTATTAGTTTTGCATTCTGTTTTTTTTGCCCACTTTGTCCAAAGATACCAAACAGTTGCTGAATGGTCATATTGGTACTGTCTTACATATGCAGTGTGGTTATATATGTGAGCAAGAGAATCATAATCTGGCTGTTAATATTTAAACATCTTCACTGGGTTGGGTTTTTTTATGAGAATTCTGCTGTGTATTTTGAAGATAATCATAATGAAGCAGAGATGGGTACAGTAAATTATTTAATATTCCTTATGTATGAATAGAATAATGATTAGTGTAGTGTCAGCATGGTTTGACACACAGGCACAGGAAATACAGCAAGGTTCTCCTCAGGTCTTAGACCTGAGGGTGTCTTCAGCTCTGCTTGTGCCCTCCTGCATGACCTGGCTCAAGCCAAGTCACATCCTTGTGCCTGTGTTTTCTTACCGAGTGATCTATTTTTGTTGCCTATTCATATTGAAAACTTCTTGCTTTACAGGACTTTCTATACAGCATTTAACAAATCAGGGCCAAAGAATTCCTCTTAATTTCCCAAGTCCTCCTGTACTGCAGATAATGTGTATTTGTACACAAGCAATGAGAGAGAGGAGGATCACACAATCTTTTTTTCTCTTTTCCTTCAAATGTTTTACCTGTCATAGTATTTTCATCCCTTTCTCATCCCCATCTCTTCAAAATTCCTCTCCGGTCCTGTCACCTGCTGATGAAGTCACCAGCCAAATTCAGCAGTCACTACTACCCTGTGCTTTAAGGAGCGACTAAAAAATGGTTACTTCATAGTTTACTATTCCTGTTTATGGACTCTGGGACAAGTCCCAGCTCTCCTGAGTGAAGGCTCATACTGCAGTAAAGGATGCATCCAATTCACGAGGAATGGGTGCTGTAACTCCTCAGCAGGCAGTGACTGCTGTGCTGGGATAGAGCCATCACACTGATTTTAACTGTCTGTGTGGATCACTGTGGGTCAGTACCTGCTCCTGCAACTCCTAAACTACAGCAAGGCTCTTGTGCTTCCAAGCATCTCTTGACAATGCCAATGCCTACTGAAAACTATTGATATTAGTAGAGTAGTCACAAGTGTTTATTTCTTCCTGGAGTCCTTTCAAAATGACATCTTCATCCTACCTAGCACTTGTTACTAATTTCCAGTAACCTCACTCGTGGTTCAGTAAGTGTCCGGTATCAGATATCTGTTGAGCCGACTCTGTGCTGTGAGAGTACTTGTGTTAGTCATAATACTCCTCTTGTCAGGCATTGTTAAATGGGATTGAGTGTCAACAAGCAAATGCATGTCCAGACTTTGTCTGATAGATTTTAAATAGGGTTAGAATACGTCAGCTAATGAGAAATGCCAGTTCTTCCACCCGTATGTGTAACTGGGTGAGTGAAAGGAGCTAAATAGTTCCCTTGTTAGAAGAGGCATTCAGTAAAGGTCAGCGAACACTGTCCTTTTTCCAGTGAATTTGAATGGCTTTCCTGTTGCCCAAATAAAAATGCTTAAATGGTTTGAAGTTGCAAACCATGCTTTAAACAGTTTAGTTAAGGGTTTGTTGCTGCTGTTGTTAACTTAAGGAGCTTTCTGAGAATCATGCACCTTGGTGGCAAGTTACTGAACCATCATCTGAGAATTTAAAGGACAGGAATAAGTTACTCATAATTGTGCAGCTCCACATATAGTTCTGTTCAGTGCTGAGGTGCTTCACAAATAGTGCAGATACCCAACAAGTAGTCAGTTCCTGTTAAATGTAATTCCTTTCACTTGAAAGGTTTTATAGTTATGTTCCACATCCCTCAATAACCTCCATGAGACAGAGAAATGAAAGCTTATCTTACACAATAAAAAGGCAAAAAGATAAAACTTGAATATTTTCATGGCCACAGTTTGAGAACAGGTATTAGAATTCAGAGTACATTGTTCTTACTGATTGCTATTGCTACACCATTAAGGCCAGGGGACATCATTATACAACACTCCAGAATAAATAAAATGACAAGTTTTAACCGATAAATCAAACTTCTGCTTTAGCTTTTGCTTTGTCCACAAAGGGCACCAGATTCTTTCTCTGCCTTGCATCTTGTATCAACTTGTCCACATATGTAAATTCAGTGCAAACCAGAAGTAGGTGAAATGACAGCATTTTATATTCTCCCTTTCTCATGAGGAAATAAGCAGAGAATCAGATTGCTCTGCAAATTGCTCTCACCCAACAACTGTACAGTTGTGAATCTAGGTCAAGGCACTTCTTTAAAACTCCCGATTATTCTGAACCTACCTTTTTGTGTCTCAGGTTTAAATCCACCTCCCTGGCATTTTCAGGTTCTTTTCTGCAGCCTTAGTGCTAGGTGATAATTTTGTTTAGAAGAAGCTAAAATTTTCCAGGCAATTTATTTTTTTGAGGAGATTCAGAGTAAAACAAAAAGAACCCACATATATAACACACAGGATGACAAGAGTTACCAGCACTGATTTTAGAGGTTGTACAGCATTTACTTGCAAATTTTTTGCATCTCAAGCTTTTTCTTTTCCTTAAGGATATTTTTGGTCATTTTCATCCCAAATTTGTATTCTTTCTTAATCAGTCCAGTAAATGAAAATTCCAAATGTTACCAAATACCAGCTTGTTATTTTGACTCTCACTGAAACAGCTTCTGCAAATGTAACGTTGTCCTATGCAAATCATATTATGCATTTCAGTACTGCCTGGTCACGACTCCCATTTATCCTCTTTAAGTACTGTTAAGTAATATTGTTAAAGTTCTAATAATAAATTAATTGTTCTTTATGCTGCTTCACCGCAAGAAGCGTTTGGATGAGGTAACTCCACAAAAAATAGGTATCACTGCTATAATACTGATAATTTTTATAGCATGCTTGCCTGCAGTTGAGGTCTCCAAATGATGTGTGATTGCAAAATCTGGAAAACTCTTTCAAACCTCCCCAACAGAAGGAAAAAAAAAAAAAGGGGCAATGTACAGTGCTTTTCATATTTGAAGTACACCGGGGGACGTAACCGATCAGCGGGCCACTAACCTGACTCATTTCCATGGCTTCATTCAGCTCCGCTCGCGGAATTCCTGTGGGCTGCTGAGCAAATAAAAAATATCCCAAATTTAAAACATGACCACCAGGAACGCTTTCCAAAAGATCAGACTTCTACTAACAGGGATTTTTGCTGTTCACAAGCCTGTATGTTATGTAATACAGAAAAAAAAAAAAAAATTCGTTACTTCTAAGAGTAGGGCATGGGCTGTGAGGGATCCTGGACACTGAGTAAACCAAATAAAAAGCCCTGCATTTCAAAAAACAGCCAAACCAAACACACGAACAAAGAAACAAACAAAAAAACCCCCAACCAACCAAACCCACTTTTGGACAAGAAAATATTATGGTGATAAGAAAAAGTAGCCTCCTGTTATCGATGATATGTGTGCTTGTGCCTAACTGAAGACACGCTGTATTTAGTGAGGACGTTATCAGGGTTGGCTTCCTAGTGCTAAGTTAATTTGAGAAATACAGTTAAATACTAGAGATGCATGACTTTTTTTTAATTGGTGATGGACTCTTAAAATAACGAGTCTAGGGTTATTCAGTATTTTGGGTTGAGTTAGACACTGAGTTTCATCTGCAAGGAAAGGTAATAGGAAACATGTTTGAAAACAGGCTGTCCTTTCGTTATTTTGAAGGGGGCTGAAACAGAAACATTCACGTTTCTTTATGACAGTTTTTAAGCAAAACTTCTATGCTTTGAGTCAAACCAGCACTCTTCATTAACTCAGAGAGCAGGGGAAGTTAAGTATAGAAGATTGGCGACATAAAAATAGGAGGGGCGGCAGGTGATTTGACAGAGAGAATAAAGTTCAGAATTATCTTTTTAGAGGTCAGAAATGGTCTGAAAAACAGAATTAAAGCAGAAGGTTTTATCTTCATAGAAATATATATATACATCCTATACAGAAATCCAGATCTTAGGAATGGGAAGGACTGGAACTTTTCAAGCACAAAGTGATGGTGTAAACTTCTGATCTGTATTCTGAGAGCCACAGCTTAAGTAGTCTCCCTCTGCCCTACCCAGGTACTTCCTTTAGGCAGAAATAGCTTCTCTTTTTATGGGGCATAAAATGTTACTGCTTAATCTGGGCTGAGTGCTGCATAAAACTGGTGAGTATTGATGCAGAGGAGCCTAAAGGTGCATCGGTGTCCTCTGGGTGAAAAGGTTTCAAGTTCTCCTCTTTGCAGCATCGGCTTCCAATGTGTGTTAATGCCCGAGGGTTTTCCGTTCCCATCGCTCACTGTGTTTGGATTTTTGTTTGACAGAGAAATGGTTAATGCATGGTTTGCTGAGAGAGTTCACACCATCCCAGTCTGCAAGGAGGGAACCAAGTCCCACAGCGATTCCTGTGCTTGTCACCAGCCTGCCTGTGCCGAGCCCACCAGCCCCGGGACACCGGCGAGGAAAATCTCCGCTTCGGAATTTGACAGGCCCCTAAGGCCTATTTTTGTCACGGACTCGGTAGGAGCGGTGAGCTTCCTCTCAGGCTCTGAAAAGAAGGAACAGATGCCTCTGCCATCTCCACGGATTGAGACCAGCGCAGGGGATCAGTGCTCAAGACTGTTAGAACTCGTGAAAGACATTTCCAGTCACCTGGATGTCACGGCGCTTTGCCATAAGATCTTCCTGCATATCCACGAGCTGATTGCAGCGGACCGCTATTCCCTGTTCCTGGTGTGTGAGGACAGCTCCAATGAGAAATTCCTGGTCAGCAGGCTGTTTGACGTGGCAGAAGGCTCCACCCTGGAAGAAGCTTCCAACAACTGCATCCGCCTGGAGTGGAACAAGGGCATCGTGGGGCACGTGGCAGCCATAGGCCAACCTCTGAACATCAAGAACGCCTACGAGGTGAGCCAAGGGAACTTCTCCTGAGAGATTCTCCGAAAAAAGAGGGAGCCTTATGATCAGCTGTTGAAATATTGCCACTTTAGTACCTGTACTTGGACCTATGTTGACTTATTCTATATGGTTTTTAACACAGTGAGAATAACAACTTCATACCATTATTACCTAGTAATGGAATGTTTGTTATCCTGGGTAACAGTTAAATGAGATATTCTGTTTTTCTTAACCTTTAAACCAAGGAAAAGAAGTGATCTTTAGGCAAGTAGTCTAATAGTTGTATTTTTTTCAGGATCCAAGATTCAATGCAGAAGTTGACCAGATCACAGGGTATAAGACTCAGAGCATCCTCTGTATGCCAATAAAGAATCACAGGGAAGAGGTAAGCTGCAGTCTTAGGATCCCTTCATGTAATACTGTTTCCAACCACACTGATGGAACTAATGATGAACTAATAACTTCTCATAGTTGGCAGTCATTATCTTCCACTACAAAACTCTCTTTTTTTAAAAAAGAAGACTGCTGATGTTTGTTTGGACTTTATCTGATCCAATTCAGTAATGTAAGCCAAAGGGAACTGTCAGGAAGTGTTTCATCCCAGATGCAGCAGTAGAATATATGGATTTAACTCTAGAAGTGCTGGTCCTGCTTCCTGTACCAAGTGTCTGTGAGCATTAAAGTTCTCTGCACACTTACTGGTCTATCCCAGAGCACTCAGACTGCACTGAACAGTTACTGTCAGTGAAGCACATTTGGGTTTCCTTTGATCCTGACTGTAGGAGCCTTCAGCCACATCACCAGTTCCTGGAATACTCACACTCTCTATAGAGTGTGTCAGAGCTTTGAGGTGGAGATTTTCTCTCCTGCACTTCATTTTTTTTTTTGGAGCATTTATGGTTTGCTCCCAGAGAGCTCAAGCTCCCAAAAAGAAAGGCTGCCAGGATTGGTTTGAAGGCATCATACCTTCTTCTTCTTGTTCCTCCATCTTTCACTCCCCTTATGGAGTTTTTCACCTTGGCTCTCACTGCACTGAACCTTTCTTTCATTACATAAATTGATTAACTCCTGATTTAAGTTGTTTACTGCATCTTACTGCAGCTGACCCAGATGATCAGCCAGTATTTCCTTTCTTCACGTGCTACTAATTCTGGCCTAAATTATTTTTTTTTTTTTCAGTTCTTCCAAGGACAGTGCTTGATCCTTTCCTTAAAAAGTCTTCCCCTTTCCAACCAGCAGCAGCCACTTGCTGGCCCTGGGCCAGCAGATGAGCGAAGCAGATGTGGTGTGACCAGCTGTCAGGGACCAGTGGTCCATGTCAGGCTGATGCAAGGCTTCACATTTCACCCAAGCCCTCCCATTTTCTTCCTGTTGGACGGCAACAAATGCTGTGCTCCACGTAGATGGGAACAGAAATGAGTTCCAAAGTCCTCCTGGCCAGGTCCTGTTGGTGGGTGGGGGAAGGAATAAGAGCTGCAGTCTGTGTGTCCAGGGCACCGTGACTTAGGGGCTGAATAAACCTGCAATGGGCCGTGTCCTGGGCCAGCTTTCTAATCCTAAGTGCACCAGCAAGGGGAAATGAAGCAGGAATTTGTTTATTTGGAGAAGTTCAGCCAACCTGAAGTTTGAGGAGAGTGTTATACTCATATGTAATAATTTGAAGGTGCTAAACTCTAAGATTTCTTATAGGAAAGGATTGCAGCTTTACTTTTTTCTGATTTTTACAGTCTCTACCAGAAGGTTTTTCTCCTTCTCACCATAACAAATGACTGACATGTTTCTGGAGAGATCGTTGGAGCCAATGAATCAGTCCTTAATTTTCCATTTGCATTCTGCTGCTTTTTCAGTTTAAAAATCCCCAAAACAACAAAGCCAGAATACTGACTCCTCCCTGTTAAAAAATAAAGAAATAAAATTTAAAAATCCCCAAAGCCCCTGTATTAATATTGAGGCTACTGAATGCTGCCTTAGCCCTGGATGTCAGCAACCACAGTCAGAAGATGATCCTGGAAGTCATCCAAAAATAAAACACTGAGAAAGAGAAGCAACTGGAGCTTTCTGCTTGTTTGTTTAGTATTAGTACTACTTTTTTTAAAAACAAAAGAGTCAGTAATTGAGAGGAAGAAAATCTCATGCTGATTATTAAATCCTCTGGGCCTGCTGAAGTATGGAGATTTTTCCAGGAGATGCATTTCACATTTGCCTATATTTCCATGAGGCATGTGAGAAACCAAAGCCCCATTTAAAAATAACAGCTAGTAAGAAATTCCACAGATGAAAAGAAAACAGTTTGATTCACGAAAGAGCCCGTGAAAAGGACCCAGGAACTAGTAACAATGAGAAAAAGCTCCAAATGGTGCTGATTTGCCTTCTAGGGCTCCCGGGAAGTCAGGAAATGCAGTGGCACAGTCGTTTGGTTTCATCTGGCCTTGGATTCAGAGACACAGAGAAAGGATGGCAGAGGTTGTGGCCAATAACTATCACCTCAAATGTCTGCACCAGGTTTTGTAGGCACTTGCAAACAAACAGCCATTTTGACAGAACTGAACAGGGAATAGAAGTCCGTATTCCATTCCTTGGCTTAATCCAAATCCAAGTCGTGGAGTTCTGCAGGGCTGACACAGGCTCAGCAGAGCTCTCTGGCAGGTTTGGACTATCTCTAGAATGGAAGGTCTCTGATGCACAGAGACACCACAGCTGCCACAGAAACATCTACAGGAAGGACGCAGTTTTCTGTTACTGCTGCATTTTTTTTTTTCTCCTTCAGCTGTGCCTAATAATTTGCATTCAACTCAATTTAATTTCTACTAAAATCCGTAGGATTTTCTCACATGGAACTTTTAGCTGAATAGACTAAGACCTCTCTCCTAGGCTCTAAGCAAGACTGAACTTCCCAGTACTCAGCTAGGGAAATGTTTTATTCTGGCAATTGTTTCATTTGTTGTTCACTTTGCCCTATTTGCTACTGTTTCCAACGGCCTTTGAAAATATCCTGTTGCATTTTGTTGTGCAAAACGTGAGCAGGCACGTTCCTGCCAGCCAGGGAAGTCATTTTCTCCCTCAGTGAACACTTCAGATATCACAGTCGCTGCAGAATAGAGGAGCTCCAGCCAAGCTGACTTTAAACAAACTGCCCCAAGTTCCAGTGGCAGTCTTGCTGCAGGATTATGGAGATCAGTAATTTGCTTCTTGGGTGGATTTTCATTTTATGCTGAGACACGTGTTACGTTCACTAGGCTGCTGGAAATCACACAGGCTGCTTGCTGCTGGCATGGACGATGGAAGAGGATGTGAAATTTTTGTTTATTAAAAATGGGAGTCTGTAAATACAGTTCTGTCCCCGGGGGATAATTTTCTAAGCCTGAATCAAAGCTCCACAAGACCAGGAGAGCAAAGGAAGGTTAACACCACTTAGTCTGTCTCCTGAAGTGGGTATGTTCTCTTATTGAAAAGGAGATCAAAATTGAGTTCCCATCTTTCTGTTACCATTCTTTGGCTTAATGTAATTTTCCTTCAAGTGCCAGCGAAAGCAAATCAAACACATATCTTCCTAGGAAGCAAAATTAATTGTATTTTTAAGTCAGCTGAAATAAGAACCAACTAAAACGGGCACCAGTGGCCTGTAGAGCTGGAAGAGCTTTTCCAGAGTTAGGCCTGTAATCCTAATGTGCAGAAAACTGCAGCATGAAACAATGCAGATAAAATCCAGAGCACAGCCATCAGTCATCACCTACTGGGAAACACTCTAGGTAGGCTGCTACTTTTAGAGGCAGGGCTCAGCTATGGGAAGAAAATAGGAAAAATAAAGTTCTCTGACAATTAGAAGGAATCTCTTCTTGTAAAGTGGATCAGGATTTCTTAAATGGGAAAAGTAGATAGAGAAGAAAGGTTAGAGGGCAAGTAGAGCACTGGAAGATCACTTGTGCTGCCAGCAAGAATATTTTTTAACCCCTTTCTTTCCTATTAGTTTTGTCTTGTGTGGCCAAGAAATATTCAGGCGAATTCCAGAGGTGCAGTAGGAGAACGACAAGGAATCAAACATACACCTTTGCTTTACTGCTGCATGACTCACCTGTTCTATTTTCACACTATTCTCCGAGCTTTATCTCAGATTTCTCTTGTTTATTGCCACAAACATTTCACGCTTTGAATGGACCTGTTCTCTGAGGAAGTTTCCTGTGCAGCTGAGCTCGGAGTCACCTTGGATTCAGTTTCTCTGCTGGTGCAAACATAACTCCCAGCTGGAGATCACTGATCAGGCCTATTGTTATTTCTGATTGGTTTGTAATAAGTTTTAAAAATGAGGATTTGGGTTTCCTACTGTGCTTAGGATTCTCTAAAATGCAGGCATATGTTCTCCACGGCCTAAAATGTTACTGCATGATTTACTTTTGTCCTAATTACATAATTACTTTAGTAACAGGAACAGAACCTCCTGAGTTTCCTACATCTTTTCCTAATTACCTGGTTGCAGGCAAGACTCCAATGGCTAAAAAATATCCATCTGAGGTTTTTCTCATTACTGTCTCTACACCATATCCTACAGAATGTAGAGAAGCACTGAAATTTGTACTGGTACAAATGAGGCCACAGTTTGGACCAGTTTAATTTTTAAAACCGTTCATTTTGTGTGAAAAAAAAAATGCACACACTGCAAAGATGTCTTAAAGCTTAAGAATGCCACTGAAACAGCAGTAACTTTTTGCACATTTTTTTATCATAATTATGTCAACCGTGACTTTTTAGCAGGTTTATTCTCATTAATCCTTCCCTCCTCAGTTAAAAACTTTTATTGAAAGACCTTTACAGAGCTCTAAAACTGACCATTGCTCTTGGAACACCTGCCTTTGTTCATGTATCATAAACCTGCAGTGCTGCTAAAAGGAGCCTAAATAGTCCTTTTTTTTTTTTTTTTCCCCTAGATAAATATGGTCCTTTTATTGTTTTCTTATAGCTGTTTTAAGCACCACAGGCTTTGCTTTCGTGGAGGGGATGTATTTACACAAGATGAAAGCACTCACCTTCTGGATGCCTTGAGAATCCTCTGGTCTTATTGAAGTTGTCTTAGCTTATGCTGGATCAAAACTGAAATAAAATAAAATAAAATAAATTAAATCAATACCCAGAGAAGACAGTGGTATGAGAAAAGGTGTCACCATTAATCCCTGCACATGTAGGTTAAAATAAAAGCGTATTGACTGCTTAAAAGGATTTGCTTTCATTCAAAGCCTGCCATGGAAGTAGATAAGACTTGAGGTAAATTGTTACAACAGAAAGGAAGTTCGCTGGATAAGAAATATTCCTCCCTGAAGTGAATGAGGGGGTGAGTGTGGGAAAAGCTGGGCTGTATGGGAGGGAGCTGACAGTTCAGCTCTATTTCAGACAGACATTTTTGAGCCCACAGTTGGCAGTGATTCATCCTGCAGAACAATGACCTTGCTTGTAACATCAGTATTTTGGGAATGCGAGGCCAAGAGATAGTAAATTGTCTTCTTTTCCATTACAAAAATAAACCCACATGCTTTCCATCAGTTTAGCAGCTACAAATGTAATGATTTTTTAACATTTAAACACAACACACAGTTTTCTTCTGATACTGTTTATCCCCCAAAAAAGCCAGATGAAAAAATACCATCATTAACACCTTGCACTGGTTTTACACTACTTGGACTCGAACAATGGAAGTTCTTTGCAGTTTTTCTATCACTTTTTGTAATCACACCCAAAAAAATCTGAAAAAAAATGTAAAAGCTTTGCATATACTTTATGTCAGATTAATAACACTTTGCAAAGTCTCAGAAGGAATGGAAAGGTACAGAAAGGCTAAGGTGGGAAATGTTTATGCATCCCAGAGAAACAGTTATTACACTAACAATTCCATTTAACAGTCAACCAACCAAATACTTGTAATTATCACTTATTCTCTTCTATACACATGCCTAGAAATGCAATCTGCTGACAGACTCCTAATTGCTCCATCTTGAACACACTAGGTTGTTGGTGTGGCTCAAGCAATCAACAAGAAATCTGGGATTGGTGGCACCTTCACTGAACAAGATGAAAAGGTATGAAAGCTTTCTCCATTTATGTCTCTTCTGTTTTCACAGGGGAATGGGGGATGTATATATTAATAATTTATTTTTCTGGAAAAGTAAAAACTCCTGCTAATGCTGCAAATATCTTTCTTTCTGAGGCCATGAGAAATGTGAATGTGAAATAGTTTGATTTCTGAATCACCATGTTCTCTGTCATTTATCTCTGAGATACAGGCTTACTCTCCTGAAATGCATTGTAAACCAGTTTCATAACTAGTAAGAGACATCATTTTTTATTCAATGGTTCCAGCTCTCCTGGCATGCCCAACAAACACATTTTGAATATTCAAATTTGTGTAGTGATTCTCTTTCAAATACTGTGTCACTTCTCAATATAGCAATTGCAGGAAAATAAAAAGCTTTGGATAAATGATGAACAATGTATAAGGTAATCAGTAGAGCAGACAGTAGAACTGACTCCTAATTCTCACATTGCAGTTGCTTTCCAGACATTTCTGGACTTCACATTCAGGTTGGTTTGGCAAAAGCCAGGCTGTGCTCGGGCTGAAGAAGTGACTTAACCCTCAGCAACAAAAGAATCAGGATTCACCCTTTCTCTTTGAAAACTTCCCCTTTAAAACAAAATGCACCCCGAGTATCTGCAGGATATTAGAATTAATCCCATACTGAGAGGGGGAAAATTGTGGGTTTGCTATGTGAGCAGAATTTTATTTCCCCTTTCCAAGAGATGGAATTGCCCAAAATGAGACAGGCTGGTTGTCTGCACTCAGGTTTTCTAGATAAAATAAGCATTGCTGCAAAACAACTGGATTCCTTTGAGCTGCTTCTTATATCAATTTTCTCAATCCTGCTTGCACCAAGATAACCTGTGAAGATCATTAGCTTAAAAAAAGGAGAAGGGATTCTCGAGGAAATACCAAATTAGGAGCAACTCAGGAAAAAACCCCAGCCCCTAAATGCATGCTCGCCAAAAATAACAAAAATATCAATTAATACCTCCAAGTGGAACCAGAACATTGCAGCAGCTTATCTTGGACTGGGGGACACCATTCTCCACGAGGTGCTGACGTTCATTTGTCTGCAGGACTTCGCCGCCTACCTGGCGTTCTGCGGCATTGTCCTTCACAACGCGCAGCTGTACGAGACGTCTCTGCTGGAGAACAGGCGCAATCAGGTACGGAGCCGTTTCCCGCTGGCTCTGACTTTCCAGGTCGCTAAACTGGTACAAATGTGGCTGATTTTTCAAGTTACCCTCGTGCTTCTTGTGGGGAAGGAAAGGAATCTGAGCCCGTTTGAGCGGCTGAGTGGTCCAGCAGCAGCTTTGAAGGGCCGTATCCAAATGGTGTTTTCAGCGGAGGAGTTCGTTAGGATCTGCTTAGAATTTCAACAGATAATAATTGGGTTCCAAAGTCTTAAGAAATGTAAATATCACGTATGTTTCAGGGTGCACACGTGAGCCATAGGAAATCATTAGGTTTCCTAAGGACAAGTAACTGTGTTGTCTGGATTTCTCGGGTTTCATTTGATGGCCTGTTAATGCCTAAATCTCTATTCTGCCTCTCTGACCCAAAACATCAGCCAGCCATCTGGGCTATTTATTTCCTCCGTCAAAAGTGTCAAACTGGCTATTATTGACTTCCTTTGCAGTCTGTGTGAGAGCCAGTATTTAATTTTGGTCACAGACATACACGTTGACTTCCTTAATTCAGGGAAGAGAAGACTCAAAGACAGTAGCAATGCTAATTATTGCAGAAATCACAACTAGTCAAAATTTCACAAAGGGCCTTTTCCCCAGGTGCTTCTTGACCTTGCCAGCCTGATCTTTGAGGAGCAGCAGTCACTGGAAGTAATCCTGAAGAAGATAGCTGCCACTATAATATCCTTCATGCAAGTGCAGAGGTGCACCATCTTCATCGTGGATGAAGATTGCCCTGTGAGTGTGGCTTTTTGGCTAAAGGCAGAAGTGCTTTTTCCCTGGGAGAGGTTTGGGCTTCCCTCCATCCTGACTCTGCAGGATTTATGATGATTTCTGTCATCTTTTCATGCTCAGTCAGGCTGAGTGTTGACTTGGGAGGTTTTGGTCTTTGTGTAATGAAAAAATTTCTGTGCTGACAGATAAATTTGGCATAGCTTGTAAACACCACCATTTCTTCTCAGAGTCACCAGTAGAGACTCAAGACACTTCAATGATACTTAAATTTGTACGAAAAGATACCTTTGTGGCAGGATCCTGTATAGATGTGAAATGAAGGGTAAAGAACTTTACACTTGTGTTTATTACAGAACAGGTCTTGGTAACTGCAATGAGGTTTTCACGAATCATATCCTTCTAATTTATGTCAGCCCTATAGGCCTGCGTATTAAAATATCCTCTTGGTATTCCAGGATACATTTTCCAGTGTGTTTCACATGGAATCTGAGGAATTAGAAGATTCTGCTGAAAATCTGAAGAGGTAAACCAGTGAATTCAGACTTTTGTTCATCTCGGGAGAACCCTGAAGAAACTATGCTTTTAATATTCTTTTCATAATAACAGGCCTTATTTCTAGTGGGTCCTAGCTATTATGGCTGTTTTTATAGAGCAAGTTTCGCCCAGAAGTGTGCCCAGAAAAACTCTCCTGCCTTGAAAAGGCCCCACTGAGCAGAACAGGAGAGTAGAGCCCAATCTTTTCACTGTGCCAGCTCCAAGTACACATTGGTATCACAGGGCTAAGCTATGGACATGTACAAAATGGGAGAAGTAAAATTCTAACTTGCTGAGCTGCTCTAAAACTGATCTGTGTAGGCAATTAGGGTGTAGAGTAGAAGATAATAATCCTATTAAGGTTCTTAATCAATTATTTTAATCATTACCCTTATCTCACAGATAAGGAAGCTGGCTTAAAGAACAAGTCTGACTAAATCAAGATTAAAGCCCTAAAGTTCTAACATTCAGTCATCTTTGAGAAACCAACTGGGAGGAAGGGAGAGGTAGAAATAGCTGAATTAAAATACCCAGATTAAATAGTTTCCAAATTTAGCCTGAGTATTGAAGTGTGAAAATTACTGTCTCCATTACTTTTCTCTGTCATCAAAGAGAGTTGTTTCAAATAATGTCAAAAAGAGACACAGTTGTATATAAAATGTTCACTATGGATATTGTGTGCAGAGAGAAAATGGAGATTTCTGTACCACTCTGATGCTTTTTTTTGCAGGAAACACTTATTAAATTAAAATTAATTCTGTGTTAGAAAGAATAATTCCCTTCTTCCAGCCCTGTGAACATCCTTACACCAGGAGGATAGCTAAAGTCAAGCCAAATGTTGGAGGGAAACTCCAGGAGCTTGATGGCAATAGGTTGGTTAATTATTAGGGCATATGACCACCTCCAAGGCAGGCAAAGGGTCTAAGAGAATTAAAATACCTCAATTACATAAATTGTGACTGAAAGAGTGGAGACGACTGATTCTGTGAATGTCCTCTATGTCCTGATTTGGAATAAACTGTTCTATTTCAGTAGTAGAATCTCCATACTGGGCCTTTAATTTTAGAACAAATTTGACATGAACTTAGAAGCAGAAAATTCCCAAGCGATACCTGCTGCAGTCTCTTTAATGTCATCCAGCACTGGCTTTTTAAGTGCCTCAGATTTGTGAATGGAGTTGGTTTTCACAGGGTTCTGTTTATTTCTATATAAACCCAGCTGTTCATTCTCTCTCCTTCATCTGTGTAAACCGTAGGGATTTGTTTATTTTTGCAGCTTGGTGTTCAGTGTTAATGTTGACTAAGAAATGGTGGAATGCACACATCAGTCCACTCTGCAGTTTTGTGATGACAGCTGGATTAGGATCCAGGGTTTGAACTCAACCCCATTATATATCTATTAGTTGTGTCTATAGATCCTTTTCTCACAGTGGAAAGATATTAATCTTAACCTGCTGGGCACGATGAGATGCCTCCTTTTTATGCTAAGCACATAATAATGGTGGTGTTGTGTCGTTCAGGGACTACGACACGAACAAAATCAATTACATGTATGCCCAGTACGTC